TGTCAAATCGATCTACGACCAATTGACAGAGATGATCCCAGGTACATTTCTTAAGGTTAAGCTCTATGGTTTGCATCCAAAAAGCAGCAGTACCAGTGAAATTGATGGTGGCTAACTTGACCCAATTTTTAGGAGGAACCTCATACAGATCAAAATAGGTATCACATTGCTTAATCCAGAACTTGGGACTGGCACCACTAAATTTAGGAAAATCCAACTGAGGCATCGCAGGACTCAGATGAGAACAGGAGCTGTACGAAGGATGAGGATGGAATGCAAAACCAGGGTGAGGATGAGGACGAGGGGATCCATTTTGCGTACCATTGGCCGGAGGTGGTTCGAGGGTGTAGACGACCCCCGAACCATCGCTCCGGTGGTGGGTTTCATCGCCGTGGCCAATTGGCCCAGATGCCGCCTTCGGAGAGGACGGGACCAGATGAGCGGACCCCGGCACCTTGGGTGAAGCGGATCCAGCGTGAGCGTGATGAGGAGTAGCCGGATTGGAAGTAGACTTGAGCTCGGCGAATTGTTGTCGAAGGTTGTCGACGCAGTCGCGCAGATCTGCAACCTGGTCATCGACCTTGGGCCTCCAGCGCTCGAACTCGGCCTTCGCGGCGGTAAGCTCGGCCACCGAGTCGTGAACCTCGCGAAGGCAATGGTTGTTCTCGGAGATCCCCTTTGATTGCGCATCAAGCTTGGTGAGAATCAACGCGAGCTGATCTTCAACCTTCATCGTCACTTGCAGGCGGGTACGGTGCTCGTGAGCCAGTATGATTGGCGACACAGGAGGAGGAGGGTGGGAACGGATGGGACCGAACTGAATCTGATACCAGATGTAATGATACTAAGCTCGACAGAGGGATTGTGTGGACTACTGTTGGTTAATATGAGTTTAATCGAGTATCTGGATACAAGTAACCGATGGAATCGGAGGACGCCGGCGATCTCGAGCCGTAGCTCGCCGCCAATGCCGTCGCCAACCAAGACGAGAAGCCAACCAGACTCCCGTTCCCCTTTTCTACCACTTGCTTACAGCTGTTCCTGGACAGCGGGCTCACCCGATGCAACGGGCTTGCTGGTCACCCATTCTGGGCCAGCATATTTCGCATTGGGCTTCCTTTCCCTCTTCGGCTTTGGGCTTCTCAGGCTTTGCAGCTTGTTAGCGGACCGGACCGTGACATGGATCCCCACGTCAACCTGAGAATTATGTTTGCAGTTTGTCCAGTAACTTGAATTCGCATCTTATTCATTCATTGCCTGGCACTTTGATTTCAACCGGTGCTTAGCTTTAGGGATTCCATCTCGTCGGGCGATGTCGTTGTAGATCCGTATACTGAGAATTTATAAGGAAATCAACATAGGAGCTACATGCATAAAGCCGGTCCATGCATACAGTGGTCAGCGATGTGAGGGGGATCGGTACTCTAGGCAAAAGCCGGTGCTCAATCTGTTGGAACGATGACGATGATGCTCTTGGGTTATATCACTCTCGGGAGGCGTCTATCGATGAACCCCTTATCCCCATGCGGTTGAATTATTCCATGTGAAACCTTGTTTGTTTTTGGAAGGATGACGACGACGTCGATGGCATCGTGTCCTTCCCTAGAGGCGTCGACTTGGAAGATCCTCTGATGCATGCTTCGAGATGTTCTGGATTGATGTATAGGTTCCTCAACTATTGTTCAACGGTACGCTGGTCAGAGTTGACCTATCACTGTGGGTAATGCTCTCCTCAGGGCGTTCGTCCTACTAGACGTTCACGTTTTTGGGCCACGACGCAAGCCCAATCGATCCCCTCTTCTTCGCTCGTCCAATTCTCCAAGTTTCTCAAAGAAAAAAAACCACAGCAGCGGAGTTCGGCCAGCGCAAAGCTCTCAGCGCTCCACCCGCGTAGCTCGCGGCGATCGGCCGGGATGGAGACCACCCACACACTTCTCGTGCTCCGCCTACCCAGCTCGCCGCAGCCAAGGGTGGAGCTCGCTCGCGTGCAACTCATGGCAGCCCGAGCGGAGCCCGCCCGCGCACATCTCGTGTTCCGCCTGCCCAGTTCGCCATAGCCGGGGTGGATCTCGCCAGCGCGCAGCTCGTGACGGCTAGGATGAAACTCGCCCATGCACAGCTCGCAGCAGAGCTTACCCCGCATATAGCTCGTGCTCCACCCGCAAAGTGTGAGAGACTGCTGCGGCCTCTCCATCGGACATGCCGTGGCCTTCTCCACGGAGCGACGATCTTCGCGCCACCGGTGAGCTATATACCGGAGAACTCCACACGCCGACGAGCCTTCATTCTACCAAGCAACAAAGAGATGTTATACTGAAACCGCATGTTGCAAGAGTCTGTTTCAAGTGTTTCAAATATTTTATAGGTATGTTGGAAGTGTTTAATATCGATGTTGCAAAAGTAGATCGGGGCGTTGCATATGTTGCTTTGCAATGGTGCTTGAAATGCACATTCCAAATATTTCATCTGTTTTAGACGTATGTTGCAAGTGTTTTATCTGAATGTTACAAAGTAGATCCGTATGTTGCTATATATACATGCATGTTGCAAGCGTATGTTTCAAGTATTTCATATATTTTATACGTATGTTGTAAATGTTTCATCTGAATGTTGCATATATTTTACAATGGCTACACACGTATTTTTCTGGTGTTTCAGACGTATGTTATAAGTGTTTAACTATTTCGGACGTATGTTGCAAGTATTTTATCATAGATGTTGCAAAAGTAGATATGATTTTCACATGTTGTAGTGGGACCTACCTACCATGTACCAAGCCACCTGCTATAGTCTTTGGACCCAGCGTGCATGCGCGCAAGGGAGCGGAGGGCGCGCATGAAGTGCATCTGCTTGGCTCAAAAGCGGGCACAGATCTGGCCCGCGTGCATGCGTGCGGGAGCGGAGGCCGCGCGAGCGGCATGCGCAGGAAACAAAGCGGGCACAGATCAAGATGTGGCCCCGTGTTGGCGCGCGCAGGCGTGAAAAATAGAGCAGCGCAAGCCCCATGTGACGCAGGCACAGGCGTAGCAGCATGCATATGCGTGGGCACTTAGCCTCTCGGTGGTGTCCTCCGTCTCCAGCGCCCCCTGTCCTTCGGCCGCCAGCACCCTGCTCTGCTCTCGTTGGAAAGGAGGTGGGAGACCAAGTTGACGGGTGGGACCCACCAGCAGTGAGAACAGCTGCAGGACCCATCTGTTGGAGAGGGAGAGAGAGGAGTAGGCAGGGGCAGCTTCGTCTTTTCGCAATGCATGTTCACGCTGGCACCGTGACCTGGCACGCCACGTACGCAAAAACGCTTGTTTTTTGTAAACTTGTAAGATTTCATTAATCTCCTCAGGTAAATATGTAATTGTCATCCTAAGGATGAGAATTGGACGAGTGACGATCGTTATAATGGTAAAAATGTTAAATGTAAATAAAAAAAGAAAACAAAGAAGCAATGATTCGTTTCGTCGTAAACGATCGTGGATTATTTACTGCTGGCTGATTTGGGTCCCGTTTGCTGGTCTGAAACTTGGCTGAAAAACATTGTTCCGGTTGGTTTGTTGTGAGAGAAAAATATTGTTCGGCTGATTTGGTGAACAATAAATTATGAGGGGGGAGCAGCTGGCTGGCTGGTCTGAAATAGACCAGCGAACGGCCCCTTGGTGTAATAGAAAAATATTATTCCAGCTTATAATTCAGGATCGTATACGAAGCGAACAGGCTAAAGGATGCGAACCCCGCCCTCCTCGGCTGGCTCCGCCTGCCCTTCGTGCCACGCCGCGTCGCCGCCTGCCGGCGGCCAGCCACCGAGGGTCCGCCCCATCCCTCTCCGCCGTGTTCACTTGGCCTGAGCGCCTCCGCCTCGCTGCCGCCCTGCCATCCCCACCTCCTCCGCCGCGTCGCCGCCACGCCCCGGCCCTCTCCGGCCGCCGTGTCCACCTGGCCTGACCGCCCCCGCCTCGCTGCCGCGCCGCCGCCCAGGCCGCACATACTCTTATCTTATATAAGCTAATAAATTGTCATTGTGATCTCTGCTGAAAGCCATTGAAGCTGAATATAGCTTGACCCAACAATGTCCGGACGAGAGATTGGTAATTGCTTCCTTAATTAGTTCTTTGATCTCTGCTGAATGTACACCTGTTTTCTCGACTGGGGCAGCAAGAGAGCATCGGTATCGTCTGCAACGATGCTTCCCGTCAGTCAAAGCACACTACGACATAAGCTCCAGCTCTGTAGTACTATCGCATCTGCTTCTCCGACCCATTTCAATTGAAAATCATACTCGCCATCCCTGTGGATCAAAGGAGGCACAACACCATGCAGAAGATTCGGACCTGTAACTCAAACAGCAATTGTACTAAAATTTTGTTTAATTTAAGGCCAGAAAAAGATAAGGAATAGTAACTCACAATTTCCATACCTTTAGTTTTACCGTTGGCTATTGAGGTGAAGCTCTGTCAGAGCATTTCCTCTACGTCCTGACAGGAGCTGCAACTTCCTCAACCACTGGCATTTGTAAACCCCGTACTGGGAATAGATAAGAAGAGACATTTTGTAAAACAAAGTCGACATTCTATTCCATTGGACAAATATTGCGCAGATCAATTCCTGCTACAAAGATTGGTCAAACAAATAAATGGCAAGGAAGCAACAATGAATTAGGTTGCTTCATAACATTACATGAATCAGCTAAGCCGCTACGATGCAATGAAATTGTCCCTGTGGTACTACAATCCTACATCAAGAAACAGCTACTAGCGATCTAATAACTAAACAAAGTCATGTATCCAAGGGTGACTTCAACTTGTATTCCAATAACGACGCAGGCCACCCGCAATATTACAATGGCATTCAAGACACTGTTTAAAAGTTCAACAAAATCAGCATGGATTCATTTCATTAAATAGATTTCAGATTGACACCACTGCCTACATATTTAAATATTTAATAAATCATCTGGCCACCTCAGTATGGCATAAAAGATCGACGAAAATGTCCAGCCCTTCTTGTCTTGCTCAGCCAAACATGTTTGGAAGAGGCCTTACTGCCGTGAATGCATCAACCATCTCCTCAGTGACTTGAGCTCTAGCTCTCTGGTGTCTAGAAACCATCTCAGATATAGCGGCAGTGAGGCGTTGTTTCACTTCGCCAGTCAGCATCCTTCCATCCTTGTACTCCTTCTTTATGTGCTCAAACTCATCGTCGTCTTCTAGGAAGAATTCTATGTATTTGATTGGGACATCCACGTCAAGGTTAGCACCAAGTTTCCTGTGAAGCTCCACAGAGCTCTGGCCACCTGAGAAAGCATATTTATTCACCTTTGTCTTTATTTGTTTATATATTGCAGAATTTGGGTTACTGGCCGACATTTTAGAGCTCTCCTCCCCCTGAAGCGCAGGCAAAATTTTGGATTCAATCAGTGAAGGTTTATGAAAACCAATTTTAGGAGCAACATCACGAATCATCCTAAAAGAAGGATCCCTGTATATTACACATGGTATAAGGCACCGCGGTTGGTCATTGCGAGGAAAGAGATGGGGAAATGACGAAGGGAGCGATGGAGCAGCCACCACAGGAGGAAAGCTGACAATGCCAATGTTATCTTCTTGACTACCTCCAATTATCCGAATAGAATCCTCACATGTCACTCGTTTGGCAACTTCAAGGATATTTTCATAAAATGCCCTTCTGGTATAACTTATATTTGTGAAGATGAAAGTTCTCTGAATATCAAATCCACAAGCTATGATGTCTTTTGCATTTTCACGGGCAAGCCTTTTGCATTCAGCAACAGTCACTGCGGGCACCTTGAAAGCATCCTGCAAATACTCTGTGAACATGAACCGTGCGTTTGGTTTGAGGGTTTTGGTGGGTTGGAACGGGTCGAACCCAGATGGACCCGTGGATGGGGGATTGAGCAGAAAGGGGTCGACGCGGGTTGGCATATTCCCCTAAGATGCGGGTTCGTCTGATTCCACCAAAACGAGGGGATGGAGCGGGTTCCACTGGGTCGCAGTCGCGCTCACGTGGGGAACAGTCGCGAGGTGCGGGGCGCGGCCGCCGCCGGTGCGGGCCACGATGCCGTTGCAGCAGGTCCGGAGCAGGAGGGCGACGACGCGGGGGCGGGACTGAGTGGCGCGACCTCCGGTTCACAGCCATGGTGGCCCGGAGGGAGCTCCAGCAGGCGGAGCAGACGGAGGGAGGAGCAAGGGCAACGGCGCGGGGAGGGGCTGGGTGGTGCTAGCTCCGGTGGCCCTCGGCGGCGCGGGGCGAGCGGCCTCAACCCCTGTCGCGCGAGGCGAGCCGTGCACACGGCCTCAGCGGAAGGAGAACGAAGGAACAGACGCTGACGTCCACATGTCAATGACCCAACCTACTTCTAGACATTCTCCTATCCAAACACAGAACTGGAATCGATCCAACCTCCAAACCAATAAGAGATGGGTCCAACCCAACCCACAGAAATATGTTAGGTCCAACCCATGTCATCCCTAGACCAAACACATGGAAGGGGACGAGATGGCCAAGGTGCAGCGCCTCTGATGAGGGTTCCATCCCCGTGAACAGGTAAAACTTGTCCCCTGCCTCGTGGAGATCCAGTACGCTGTTGAGATCCCGGTGGGCGAAGAAGAAGACTCCGCGCCGAAGGAAGCGATGCGGCGGCCGGGATGCGAGGCGCGCGATGCGGTGAACGAGCGCGGCGTCGATTTGCTGGCACCCAAACAAATCAACCAGCTTGTCGTAGTCCGTACGCCCCTCCGGAGCCAACACCTCCGGCTGGGTAACTACCAGTTCCACTGCCGCCGCCGCCGCCTCTGTCTCGTGCTCTGTATCTTTGGGCCGAACGCCGACCATCGGCGTCTCCTCCTGCACAACGAGCATCGGCTGTGTCGCTTCACGTTGAGCGCCAGCTTCCATGTCCGGAGGCAGCAGATCTATCTCCGAAAAACCTTGACTTTGTGTCTGCAAATCTTCGATATTGCTGGATGCACGATGTAGCGGTGTAGGTGCAGAGAGGCGGCGGAACCAACGGCCGGCGGCAGGGAGGCGGTGGCCAAGCGGGGGGTGGGAGGAGACAGGCGGTGCCAGCGGAGACAAAGGGCAGGTTCGTTCGTGTTATAGTGCGTACTTTTCAGTTTATTTTTTAAGTTGAAAATAAATCAGTTAAAATTGTATTTTGATTTTTTTTTTAGCGAAGCGGGACCAAACAGGGGCGGGGGCTAGAGGCAACCGAGGCCGATGCGAATCCACATATCCTCAATTCGATCCGGACGCGGACTCGGTAACTTTGCTATGAAGCAAGTTTCCCAAATGCATCTACCGCCCAACAGATACCTGTGCATCCAAATCCAAGCATAGAATATTTAGTTTTTTTTTACCTGTGCAGTGCAAAGCAGAGGCGGAAGCGCTCGTCGGGCTCCCGCGCCGCAATGGCCTTTCCTGCGCTGCCTTCCAGACCCGCCGCACTGCCTTCCGGCGGGGCTTGCTTGCGCCACCGTGCCGCGCTCCTGCGGGGTTGCCCGCGCCGGCCTACGTCGCACGTCGCAGCCGCTCGGCATAGCGGATGGCACCTGCCGCGTCTTGCCGCAGTGCTGCCGAGCTAGAGCCAAGCCGGTGCGCCCTGCCAGGGGTTAGAGGTCGCCGGTGGATCCGACTCTTCCGAGGCTGACGGTGGCATTCGTTGTGCCAGCGGGTATTGGCAGCGTTTCAGGAGAAGGGTCTTCCGCTGGCGGCACATGGTCCGCGCCCATCCCGGCTGCTGGCACCGCGTGGGAGAGGGCGGAGAGCCCGGGCCTTTCTGAGGGGCGGCGAGGCGGAACGTGATGACGCGGCCGATTCAGTTGCACAATGATCACGGGTTCAGTCTATTGTGCATATAACAATGGCCACGAGAAGATCCATAACGGCCAGTGTCACGACGGCCGCGTCGCGTGCAGAGAAACTCGACGTGAGCGCATGGGCCGGCCATGGTGTCCTCAGAATCTGGGAGCTGGCATGGGTGACCTCCACCACCGGGTCGGCGTGCCAGCGTGCAGAGCTGCGTGTTCTCGGTGCGACGACTGCGTGTTAGATTAGTTCCCATGCCAACGGTATGCAGAATTGCAGATGCAGCTTGGCGCCGGCAACCATGACTATTTCAGATGCTGCTCGGCGCCGGGCGCCGGCGACCATGTTGAGTGTTGACTGAAACCTGAATGCATCGCCTATTGCTTTGGAAAGTAAGAACTTGCCAAGATAAATTTGTGCATGAACAGCAGCAGGAGCTTCTTCCAGCTACCAGTTGTGCAACTGCTTGTTCGCATTGAATCCATTGCGGGCATGCATAACAGAACAGAACTATAAGAGTTTCCAGCACTGAATGAAACAGCTAGCATCAGGAGACGCCAATCAAGAGGTTTGAGACGGCTCCCTGCTGACGCTGAACACGTTGTTCTTCTAGCGTTTTGGGGCGGCCACTGCGATGTCCATCACACCGTCTCCCAGCTCAGTCCAGTCGGCAGCCGCGAACCGCGCCATCCCGAAGCGGCCGGTCACCACGCACTTCACATGGTGGCCGTCTACGGCCGCTGCTCGAGGAACTAGGCCGGCTTCCCCAACGCTCTCAGGTCTCGTTTAATTTCTATCCCATCAAATGTCTGAAAATATGGAGTATTAAGTATAGGCTAAAATATAATTAATTACATAGTTTACGACTAATTTACGAGATAAATCTTTCAAACCTAATTAGTCTATGATTTGACAACGTGGTGCTACAGTAACACATGTGCTAATGACGGATTAATTGAGCTTAATAAATTCGTCTCACGGGTTACCGACGGATTCTGTAATTTGTTTTTAATTAGTATCCGAACACCTTATGTGACATCTGATGTGATACCCCAAAACTTTACACCCTGGATTTAAACAAGACCTAAGTTAGCGTCTCTTGCTCGACCTCAACTGTGCATCAAGATCTCAAGAATCAGTCACGTTGAAGCCTTACTCCATATTCATATTCGCTTATTTTTTTTTTCAAGCGGAACAACATTTTTTCTCTCACAACAATTCAATGAATCAGTGTTTTTTCGAATAAGCCTTTCCACATTAAAATTCTACCAGTCGAAAGGAGCCGGCATGTTCATTTGGCTTATAAGTGTAGCATGAGAGATGAAAAGTGTAGCATGAGAGATGAGAGAGAGAAGAAAAACTGAAAAGCGAGATGATAGAGAAGAAAAATTGCCACAGAATTGTGACATGCATCCGTCGTTTTTCTGCCAGGAGAAGAGCAAGAATGGATAGATGGTGGTCTTGATTTTTTTTCCGCAGACGTGGAGCTTACTTTATTGTAAGGCTAACACGGCTGTGTGCCTCCGTTGCGAGTGCCCTTGCCAACACTTTGTGGTTTAATATTATCCACCCCGCAAAGCTCACTAGATAAGATCGAGAATAAACCCACAAAACCCACAAGTGCTCTCAAACATTAAAAATCCGGCACGAGATCCCCCCTCAATTCAAGGTCGTCGGGCCATCTTTAGAATGGAGCTAGAGTTGATGCTATGCAGAGCAAAGAAGAAATACTTCTCCAAGATTCAAGAATAGATAAACCATTTAGACTACGGAGGAGAGTTCTAATTTTCTCTATTCTTCTTTTCTTTTTCCCCTTTTTAGTTCCCTAATCTTGTTTGTACCTCTGCTGCTATTTTGCTACTGTCTTAGTATTTAGCTTTTAATATACACTTCTTCTATATTTTAGGTGCCTAAATTTTAAGATGATTTCAGGTAACACTTTTGTTGTTGTACCTCTAACTAGTACAATTAAATTATTATTTTTGTGATTTGTTATTTGTCTTTGTGTCATAACATATTAAATTTTGCCATCGACTTCCTATAGAAAATAATTGTAAATTGTTAATTGTCTTTGTGCCAACACAAATTAGATTTTATCGGGTTTGTGGTTTTATGTAACGGGTTTTTTATTCTCGGTTCCAAAAATTGTAGATTGTATTTACAGAAATTGCAATAAACGAAATCTATAATTTTAGTATAAAATATATGTAATAACGTCATCTGAAATAAAACTAAAATTCAGACACCTAAATTTTAGCAAATCGCTCTAATATATCTTGGGCTCGTTGCCCCTCCTGTTCTTTTAAAAAAATCCGGCGCGAGATCTCCGGGTGAACGAGCCCTGCTGCCTCGCCGCATGGATAAGCATGAGATGAGTAGAAACTCATCAGCTGGTCAACCCATAGGTATACGTGTATATCATTGGTGGAGGACGGAAAAAAATCAGGTGCGGCGAAATCGATAACATACGCCCCGTTCGATCAGAGGAATATAGGGGATTTTGTGAGAGAAAATCAGCCATAAACAGTAACTTTCAACCGTGAACAGTGCACTTTTTGCACCAGCCGAACGGCCCCATAGATATTAATAGCCCTATTCGTTTTGCTAAAAAGTCATAGCTGAAGGTATTGTTCGCTAATTTGTTGTGAGAGAAAAACACTATTCGTTCGTTTAAATAGTACGACTCATTAGACACGCCAACAGAGCTGTCGGGTACCTTAGAACGGGGTACCCCAAGCAAACATCAAAAAGCTAGAAGGTAAGCCGTGGGCCCCTCACCTGCCACGACCGAGCCCTCCTCCACCTCGCCTCGAGCCTCGGCGGGAGGTCTCGGAACAAACTCCGCTCCTGCGGGGTTGCCGCGAGGCCTAGGCGTCGCAGGCCGGCATAGCGGTTGGCACCTCGGTCGCCGCAGTGCCCGAGCCAGAGCCAAGCCGGTGCGCCCTGCCGTTCTCCGTCTCCGCCCGAGGCTCTCCGTTGTGAAAGGCCTCAGGAGAAGGTCTTCCGCTGGCGGTACATTCTCCGTGCTCGCGTGGAGAGGGCGGAGGCTTTCTCTCGCGTGATGAAGGCCTCGCAATGCAACGGGGAACCCGATCTTCGATCCTCGCGAGGCCAGTGTCACGACCTCGCGTCGCGTGCAGAGAAACTCGACGTGTGTCGCATGGGCCGATGGGTCAGAATCTGGGAGCTGGCATGGGTGACCTCCACCACCGGGTCGGCGTGCCAGCCAGAGCTCGTGTTCTCCGACGCCTCGCGTGTTAGATTAGTTCCCATGCCCGATTGCCCTCCAACCATGACTAACGTGTCATGTCCCATTAATGCTTCAACCACTCCCTATTGCTTTGGAAAGCAATCTCATTTGTGCATGACAGCGGCTCTTCTTCCAGCTACCAGTTGTGCAACTGCTTGTTCGCATTGAATCCGACAGAACAGAACTAGAAGAGTTTCAGCACTGAATGAAACAGCTAGGATCAGGAGCTTATTGCTTTGGTTCGTGCCGGATTACCGCCAATCAAGAGGTGTCCTAACGTGAATCCACGATCTGCGCCACTGCGATGTCCATACCGTCTACCAGCTCAGACAGTCGGCGGGATTATCCCGCAGCCCGTGTGTCCTAACTTCAGTATCCACGAGGAACGCGGAATGCAGGCGGGAGGGCTTTAGAAAGAGTCCGAGGTCCCTGGCGGATTATCTCATCAAATATCTGTGTCCTAATATAAACTAAAAATAACTAATTCCACGATTTGAGCGCCATACTATGCCGACAATGTGGTGCTACACTAGAATTGCTACCGCCAATTAATTTGTGCTCCTAACCGTAGATTCCACGATCACCGTAATTTATTTTCGAGGCCTCGCACCGATGTGACACACCAAGGTCTCGGCCATCTTGGGGATCGTGCTGCTCGAGACCCCTCCACCATGGTGCACCCTTGGACACCAGACCAAGTCTTGCAGAAGCCTCGGTGACAAAGAGCGATCCGTTCATAGTGGCTTGAGACGAGAGAAGAAAACTGAAAAGCCGAAGCCGCACCACTCCAAGGCAGTCCCAGGAGGGCTCCCACGTGGTCTTGCGCAGACGTGGAGATTACGATTGTAAGGCTAACACGGCTGTGTGCCCCGCCGAGTGCCTTGCCAACACTTTGTGGCTCAAGGACGGACCAGATCGAGAATAAACCCACAAAACCGCACAAGTGAACAAATCCGGCACGAGATCCCGGACACGCCGCCTCTGTTGATGCTATGTAGAGCAAACTGACGAATAGATATAGTTAGCTCATGTCTAATTTTCTCCGTCCTAGTCCTCCCTTCATGCTATAAAAGGAGAGGACCTAGGGTTGTTTTTAGGGGGACATATTTTGTAACATTTTAAGATGACACACACTTGTTCACATTAACTAGTACAATGCGCCGAGAGTTAACGTCTCAAGCGGCCCATATTAACGACATCCGACTTGCTATAGAGACATTGGACCAGCTCCTCTCTCCTTTAGCTTGTAACCCCCTACTCTAAAAAGCATCGTATTTACAGTAAATTGCAAGGAATACAAGATCGATCTCTCGGGACCGGACGTAGGGCCTCGATTTTAGCAACCGAATAATATAAACCTTGTGTCTCTTTGCATCACCATCCGGAATCGAGAGCACGCAGAACAAATTCACTGGTTGGTTGAGGACTCCCGGTCCGAAACACCGACAAGAATCTGTTTCGCTGATTTATTATGAGAGAAAAGTACTATTCGTTCACTGAAATAGTACGGAACAGAGCCGTAAAAGATTTCTCAGTATATTGGTTTATACACATATAACATATCATGACCGTCATCTACTATATAAGTAAAAATATTCAAGCCAATGATGTTTCTTGAACCATCTTGCTTGAAAGCATCTATTATCATCTGTTCGAGGAAATTTATAACCAATTGGTTGAGTTGGACCTTTAGCTATGAAAGCCCTCCTAACGTCACTTCTAATGTCCACAGAAAATTGATCAATTGGTTTACGAAGTCCAGGATCAGTGATAACATGATCCGGATTGAACTCAGTTATAATAGTACCTTCAACCTGTGCATTTTCCACTTGTTGGGCTGCTATTTCATTTTCCATCAAACAAACTTAGTAATTAATTAATAATCAAGCATCCCAAGTAATAAAAAATTGTGCAAATCCTGAAGTAACGGAACTCTGAATTCTGAAACTCACCGACGCTAACTTTCAGAGTCTGCCCTAAGGCAACGCAGCAGCAGAGACTGAGAGTAGCTTGTCGACGACGCCAGGACTCGCGGTGGCGGAGTTGCTCGCGCAGACGGCGGATGCGCACAGCACAGTCGCGTTCGCGATGATCGCCTGATCTTGATCTGATCGAGTGGAGGCGCAGCCCGCGGGGGCACGAACCGTCAAGGTCAAGCGGACTGCGGACTAGCGGTTCGTCGATTCGTCGTACAGAAGGAAACTCTCTTCTCTCGGTGACTCTGCAGGCTCCAGCAGCTAGCAGCAGGCCCAAGATAAGGCCAGCCAATGAGCCGAAAGGCCCATATACCTGTACGTGATATATATATACTCCCAAAAGCCTCAATAGGCCAGCCCAAGAGAACATCGTAATAGTCCACTTGCTACTGTTTTTCTTCCTCTATCTACCGGCTGAGACATCTTCCACGACATATCTATGGTACAGAGTATTTGGGGGTAAAAATTTCTGGGAAATCAAGGTATGGCGAGCGCCATACCTTGCCACACAAGAGCTCTGCCGCTGTGTATATAGAAACGAGTAGGAGCAGATGAGCCTGACAAGTTGATCGATAGGCTCGGGTATGCTCCTCGATCTGTTGGTGTAGCAATAGCTAACTTGTCATCAAACACGGTACGTGAAAGACATACAATGCTTCTTTTCTTTAGTAGCTTTGCCAGCGATTAGACGTTCGGACAGATGCGCATGTCCGGACGCTCGTCTAGCCCGCATCCGTCCGCCTCGCTCTGACTCGCACGTGCACCCCATCCTCGACGCTACCCTCGTCGTTCCTCGCGTCCGGATGGACAGCCGCGCAGCCCGCCCCCGCCTCGCACGTGCACCCAGTCCCCCTCTGCGTACCACTCCTTCCTCCTGACCCCCTCCTCTCTCTCTGCATGGGAATGACCTGGGAGCTGGACCTAGCTCGTTGCACTCCTGTTCGTCGGTCCCCATCTCTGTCGCGCCCCATCCCCCGATGGCCAGGCCATGCGCCCATCACTCAACGTGCCCCGTGAAACACTTGCAACGTGAAACACTTGGATGCAACATACATCGGACACATATGAAACATTTGAAACTTATTGTTGCAACAAATATGTGAAAACATATACAACATCCAGATAAAACACTTGCAACATGTGTGTGAAACATATGCAATATCCACATAAAACACTTGCAACATGTGTGTGAAACATATGCAACATTGAGATAAAACACTTGCTGCGACATAAGTCTGAAACAGATAAAACAAATTTTCAAAACACTTGCAACATACCACTAAAAACACTTGCAAAAAGTATGCAACATGTGCAACATCCCAATCTACTTTTGCAACATCCATATATAAAACAATTGCAACATACGTCTGAAACACTTGAAACATACATTTGCAACATAGGGGAGGGGAAGGCTGGCCCGGTCGATTTCGGTCATCGAGGTGGGATCTGGCGGCGAGCGGCGGCGCGCGAGCATCACCAGCACCAGCCATGCTCGTGGGTGCCCTTGGCTCAGCCAGGGAAGATCTGAGGCCCCACGACACATGCACCCCAGTGGCCATGGCGGGGTCAGCGGCGTGCCCAACGACGATAGGCGACAGACGGACGGCGAGAAAGCAAGCGGCGCAGGTGACTGGGACGCAGGTGAGCGGTGGAGGGAGCGAGGGTGCTCGGCACGGCCGGCGATGGGGGCAAGGGCATGGCGCGACAGCTCAACAAACACGGTGATGGAAGAGGACGGACGGATGAGCAGCTATGATGTTTCGGAGCCGAGTGGATAAGAGGGAGTGGGGATTTTTTTTGGTTTTCTGAGAGAGATTGACCCCCTCCTATAGAGTAGCGTCCGGACGCTTTTATTTTAATTTATACACGTATAAGACGCCATGCATGGATGCTGTCACGTATGCATATTTTATAGTGAATTTGGTACACTTGCGGACGCTTGCGGACGTCAGTGCGCAGCATGATAAAAAAAGATCATTGCAACTCCATCAATGACATTGCTTTCTACATCATGCGAAATGTTTGGAACTAAAGGAACCAACATATTTTCCAAGGGAAAAGCCTCTCATCTCATCAATGATGCTGTTGAGCTATGATCCAAATTCAAGTTTGAGCCAAAGCGAAGCGGCCCATTAGCGTTAAGTTCCGTATTACTAATAGACGAGGGTGTGGGATTTTTCCTCCCTATATATACGGACCACCTCCCTCATGGAAAAGATGTATCATAGACTTCTATACGGGAAGGCCCCCAGGTTATCCCCAAGTGGTAAATCTCCGACGTTTGTAACCTCACCCGATATAGTGAAGATTTGCTGGCTGGTGCCCGTGGTTTTTTCCCTTTCACCTTGGAAGGGTTTTCCACGTTAAAATCTCGTGTCCCCTATGCTTGATCTACTGTTCTTCGTCGTTTATATTGCCTATCGTTTATAACAAGTGGTACCAGAGCTTGGTTTCACCTTAGGGTTTCACGATGGCATCGATGAAGTTTGATCTACCGCTGCTGGATTACAAGACGAGATTTGCACTGTGGCAAGTCAAGATGCGGACGATTTTGGCACAATCTTCAGATCTTGATGAGGCGTTGGATGGTTTCGGAGGAAAAGGGCAGAAGTCATGGACCGCTGAAGATAAGCGGAGGGATCGTAAGGCTCTGTCTCTAATTCAACTTCATCTACATAATAATATTTTGCAAGAAGTGCTGTAGGAGAAAACTGCCGCAGAACTTTGGCTCAAGCTAGAATCGATCTGCATGTCCAAGGATCTAACCGGTAAGATGCACGTGAAGATGAAGTTGTTTACGCACAAGCTGCAAGAAGGTGGTTTGGTGATGAACCACTTATCGATCTTTAAGGAGATCGTTGCCGACCTAGTGTCGATGGAGGTAAAATATGATGATGAAGATTTAGCTCTTCTACTGTTATGCTCACTGCCTACTTCGTTTGCAAATTTCCAAGATACCATACTATTAAGCCGTGATGAACTAACGCTTGCGGAAGTATATGAGGCCCTCCAGACGAGGGAGAAGATGAAAGGTATGGTTCAGTCTGACGTGTCATCCTCCAAGGGCGAAGTGTTGCAGGTTAGAGGCAGTCCCGAGCAGAAAACCTACAACAACAACAATAATCGAGACAAGAGCAAGAACAGTAAAGGTCGTTTCAAGTCTAGAGGCAGGGATAAGTTCTGCATGTATTGTAAGAAAGATATTCATGTCATTGAGGATTGTTGGAAGCTGCAGAATAAGGAGAAAAAAATGGTACGTATAAACCAAAAAACAAATCTGATGGTGATGGTAAGGCCTCTGTTGTCTCCGTTGTTGATACTTTTAATTCAGGAGACGTTCTTGTTGTCTTTGCTAGTTGTGTTGCTGGTCGTGATGAATGGATACTTGATTCTGCATGCTCATTTCATATATGCTCTAACAGAGATGGGATCGGTTCTTACGAGTCTATGCAGAGTGAAGATGTCGTGCGTATGGGAGATAACAACCCACGTGAGATCGTGGGCATTGGCTCCGTTCAGATCAAGATGCATGATGGCATGATACGCACACTGAAAGATGTGAGACACATACCAGGGATGGCCAGAAATCTCATCTCCCTCAGCACACTTGATGTCGAGGGGTACAAACACTCCGGTTCAGGTGGAGTGTATAAGGTATCAAAAGGCTCCCTCATTCATATGATAGGTGATATGAATTCTGCAAAGTTATATGTTCTTAGAGGAAGTACTTTACATGATTCCGTCACTGCTGCTACTGTTTCTAATGATGAACCAAGTAAAACTAATCTCTGGCATATGCGTCTTGGGCATATGAGTGAACTTGGTATGGCAGAATTAATCAAGAGAGACATGTTGGATGGCTGCACTGTGGGTAAGATGAAGTTATGTGAGCACTGTGTTTTTGGCAAGCACAAGAGGGTAAAATTCAATGCATCTGTTCATACCACCAAAGGTACACTTGATTATGTACATGCTGATTTGTGGGGGCTGTCTCGTAAGCCCTCTTATGGTGGTGCTCGTTACATGCTTACCATTATTGATGATTACTCTAGAAAAGTGTGGTCTTACTTTCTGAAAAATAAAGATGATACTTTTGCTGTTTTTAAAGAGTGGAAAGTTATGATAGAAAGGCAAACTGAAAAGAAGGTAAAATTGCTTCGTACTGACAATGGCGGATAGAAGGTGAATAATCAGCATGCTGTCCAATGCTCGTATGAATAGGCATTTTTGGGCTGAGACTGCTAACACCGCCTGTTACTTGATCAACCGGTCACCTTCTATCCCATTTAAGAAGAAAACTCCCATTGAGGTATGGTCTGGTATGCCTGCTGATTATTCACAGTTGAGAGTTTTCGGTTGCACTGCTTATGCTCATGTTGATAATGAAAAGCTAGAACCTAGAGCCATTAAGTGTCTGTTTCTTAGTTATGGTTCTGGAGTTAAAGGATATAAGTTATGGAATCCTGAAACTAAAAAGACTTTCCTGAGTAGGAGCGTTGTTTTTAATGAATCTATTATGTTTAATGACAGCTTGTCCATAGATGTTTCTCCAGTTGGTTCTGATGAGGAGCAACAACATGTTAGCGTGCAGGTGGAGCACGTAGATTATCAGGAAACTAAAATTGTTGATAACAATGTTCATGATATTGTTCAGCACTCACCTGCTATTTTGCAGCCTCAAAATCAGTCTACTACAGATCACAAAACAAAGAGGAGTTGTGGACCTCGTCCACGTTTAATTGAGGAATGTGATATTGTTCATTATGCCTTTAGTTGTGCTGAACAGGTTGAGAACATTAATGAGCCGGCTACGTACACTGAAGCTGTTGTTTCTGGTGACCGCGAGAAGTGGATTTCTGCTATGCAAGAAGAGATACAGTCACTTAAGAAAAATGACACATGGGATGTTGTGCGCTTGCCTAAACACAAGAAGGTCGTTCGTTGCAAATGGATCTTCAAAAGAAAGAAGGGTTTGTCTTATAGTGAGCCTTCAAGATTTAAGGCAAGGTTAGTAGCAAAAGGTTTCGGTCAGATTCCTGGCGTTGATTATAATAATATGTTCTCTCCGGTTATAAAGCATAGTTCAATTCATATATTTTTCGGTATTGTTGCTATGCGAGATCTTGAACTTGAGCAGTTAGATGTAAAGACTGTGTTTCTACATGGAGAGCTCGATGAGGAGATATACATGGACCAGCCAGAAGGGTTCATAGTACCTGGTAAGGAGGATCATGTTTGCAAATTAAAGAGGTCCTTATATGGTTTGAAACAGTCTCCTCGTCAATGGTATAAAAGGTTTGACTCTTTTATGATGTCACATGGTTTTAAGAGGTCTGAATTTGATAGCTGTGTGTACATTAAATTTGTTGATGGATTACCTATATATTTGCTGTTATATGTTGATGATATGTTGATTGTTGCCAAGAGCAAGAAAGAAATCACTACGTTGAAGAAACTGTTAAGTAGTGAGTTTGAGATGAAAGATCTTGGTGCTGCTAAGAAGATTCTAGGTATGGAAATTACAAGAGACAGAAATTCTGATTTGTTATTTCTTAGTCAGCAAAGTTACATTAAGAAAGTTCTTCATCGTTTCAACATGCATGATGCAAAGTCTGTTAGTACTCCTATTGCTCCTCATTTTAAATTATCAGCTTTACAATGTGCTAGTACGGATGAGGATTTTGAGTAAATGTTAAGAGTTCCATATTCTAGTGCTGTTGGTTCTTTGATGTATGCCATAGTTTGCTCTCGTCCTGATTTATCATATGCTATGAGTTTGGTTAGTAGATACATGACTAATCCTGGTAAAGAATATTGGAAGGTTGTTCAGTAGATTTTTAGGTACCTTCGTGGCACAACAAATGCCTGTTTAAAGTTTGACAGGACTGATAAGGGACTCACTGGCTACGTGGATTCAGATTTTACTGCTGATTTGGATAAGAGGAGATCTCTCATAGGTTATGTGTTCACTATTGGTGGTTGTGCTGTGAGTTAGAGCGCAATATTGCAGCCCGTTGTTGCCCTGTCTACCACTAAAGCAGAATACATGGCTATTGCTGAAGCATGTAAAGAATCAGTTTAGTTGAAAGGTTTGTTTGATGAGCTTTGTGGAGATGATTCTTGCATTAATTTATTTTGTGACAGTCAAAGTGCTATATGTCTCACTAAAGATTAGATGTTCCATGAGAGAATGAAGCACATTGATGTCAAATACCATTATGTTCGCGATATGGTCGCGCAAGGTAAGCTGAAGGTATGCAAGATAAGCACACATGATAATCCTGTTGATATGTTGACAAAGTCAGTTCCTGTTGCTAAGTTTGAGCTTTGCTCAAGCTTAGTTGGTATAATTGTTTAGCCTAAGAGGCTATTTGGCACCGGAAGTATTTTTTTTGTTGTTTCAGGGTGAAGGTTCATTTTATGCTATAAGAAGGAATTTGTCTTAAGGTGGAATTTGTTGAGCTATGATCTAAATTTAAGCTTGGGCCGAAACGAAGCGGCCCATTAGCGTTAAGAGGGACTATACCATATATTAGTTCCATATTGCTAATAAACGAGGGTGTGGGGTTTTTCCTCCCTATATATACGGACCACCTCCCTCATGGAAAAGATGTATCATAGACTTCTATACGGGAAGGCCCCCAGGTTATGGTATCCCCAAGTTGTAAATCTCCGATGTTTGTAACCTCACCCGATATAGTGAAGATTTGCTGGCTGGTGCCCGTGGTTTTTTTCCTTCCACTTTGGGAGGATTTTCCATGTTAAAATCTCATGTCCCCTGTGCTTGATCTACTGTTCTTCGTCGTTTATATTGCCTATCGTTTATAACAGATACTGCTATTGAGAATCAGTCTATTCACGGATTACCAGATCCATTTTCTCGTTCCTGATCTCAAGAAAGAGACGTGTAGAAATTATAGATAGATCCCGTCCCTCTCTCCCAATCCACAGGAACAATACACAAGAACACACGGAGGACAAGTATATGAGTGAGCCATCTCTTTATTAGTCTATATAGATGTAAATGTAGTCACTTTACATAGATGATTTCATGACGTGCGCGCGCGCGCGCGCGCACACACACACACACACACACACATATATATATATATATATATATATATATATATATATATATATATATATATATATATATATATATATATATATATATATATATATATATATATATATATATATATAGCCTAAATGGCATACATAGTATGAGGTCATCGATCCTCTAGCTGAGGAACAATTGCACATGGGCTAAAGAAGACATCAGACGTTTTTCTTCAAACTTCTTCCGAACCTCTTTTCTAATGTGATGTATTTTTTACTTATGAGCAATAGAGTTGTAATTATCTTGTTGTGTGGTTGGCCTTTGAGCATTGTGCAGCTCACAGCAACTCGGTTTTTGCTCCTCTACCATAATTGAATGGTCTCGCTCTTGCCTATTTCTTTTTCATGAAAAACTGAGGCTTGTTGTTAACACTAAAAAAATGTCCCAAGATGGATTATGGGTATTCTCCAATAAGTTATAAAACATCATTGACGTGTTAGAGGACAAGTGGCGTGACAAAACATCGAAGAAAACACGTGGAGAAGAAAGCGAGCCGAGCGAGCCAGACCCAATCGGCTTAGTCAACTTGGCCAGCTGGCTTGGCCGGTTCCCCCTTTCCAGTCGGCTAAGCCGACTCCACCTGATGGGCAGCCCGATCCCTGGTCTCGGAATCGATAAAGTCGGCATAGCCAACTGCTCGAAACCTATTTGGTTTATTTCCAAATCGGTTTTTGGTTGTTTTTGGACGTGGGAAACTTGGAGATTGCGATTTGGACTTGTTTCTTTACTGGGATAAGACCACCCTTATATATATATGAGAGGATTATGGCTGCTTGAGGAACCCAACTTTCAATCATCAAAATCGATCTACAACAACCCTTTTACCCCTTTTCCTCACTATCCTACTGTTCGGCGTGTCTCCCGGCAAAGTTTAGCGACGTTCTAAGCAGCCCTGATGGTCGTAGGACACCCTCCACGTGCTCCTCTCTGATGGGTCTTCTCGGGAAAAGTTCAGGAGTCTATCAAGCCAAGAACAAGCTCGACATCGATCGGACTAACTGGTCTCTAGATCGGTGTCGTCGATCCCACTGCGTTCTTGCTGCATTCGAGGTTATTTGCAACCTAGTGGCCGTGCTACCCCGTGCTGGTGTGTGATCCGGAATCTATCTGTGTCCTTTGAGCGGAATTACTTTTTCAAGAACATGTCGTAGCATGAATTTTATTGAGGAAACTTTGAGCGAAATTACACACGGGGATTTAGTCTACCTTTGGAGGTTGTGGATCTTCCGTGGATGTGGTGAGTTGGATTCGCAGTGGCGGAGGACAGTAAATGACAAGGTGAGCAATCAGTACAGGTTAATTAAATAATTACATGGTTAATTTCTCTGGTTCCACGATCCTGCCTCCTCCCCCACATTTTATGCTGAAGCTCGGCCACTGTGGATTGGGCTGCTGCCCCTCTAATACCGTCGTGTTCGAACCAGCGATGCACTTCTGCTTTTAGAGCATCACAACATTTCACACTCGACTGGCCAAAACTCTGAATTCTGAACGTGGTGTGCAACCATGTGAGCAAAAGGCTACGTCACTATACAACCTGTGAGGATCGCACATGTTTCCTAGCCAGAGATTCAACTGACAGGATTTCCAACCGGTTCTTCAAATGACACTGAGCACAAAATGCTGCTGCTTTTCAGGTGTTATCATGTGCATGTGTTTCACAAATCGTGACATCGATCTTTATTCGTCAGCTTTTTGACCTTTGAATTAGCTAGCTCTTTCACTGAAAGAGGAAAATGACATTACCATACATTCTACTCCTGTGCCCCTAAATATCTATCGTTTGCACTTCCCGAGAAACAATTTTGATTAATTATATATTAAAAAATATTAATATTTATAGTACATAATTAGTATTATTGGATAGATCTTTGAATCTAGTTTTTTAATAAATTTATTTGAAGATACAAATATTGCTCGTATTTTCTATAAATCGAGTAAACTTGTGACATCAACGGCGACAGATGTAAAGGTGCGGAGCACAGTAATCCTAGCATTCCACAAGATGAGCTCAGCATTAGCTCAGAGTGATCTCCATTCATCCCATCCCAGAGCTTGATGAAGTGATCGATCTGGACGCCAGTCCTCGGTTTCAGGAATCTCGGAAAGTGTAGATGGTCATGAGTATACGTTTCCATTTGCGAGTGAACGCCAATTGTCACCGCTTAGGGCGCGTTTACAAGACGAAATTTTTTGGTTTTTGGCTATCGTAGTACTTTCGTTTGTATTTAGTAATTAGTGTCTAATTATAGACTAATTATGTTTAAAAGTTTTGTCTCACGATTTCTCACCTAACTGTGCAATTAGTTTTGTTTTTCGTCTACATTTTTATGTATGTGCCGCAAGATTTGATGTGATATTTTGAGATGAAAATTTTTGAGAACTAAAAAGTGCCTTACCGAACGAGTGAACGCCAGCAACGGCGATTTTCCAGGTCCGGCTCCAAAGGTGGCGGTCTGAATGAAGAAATTCAGAGAATTAGGTCTCAGGTATGGTCAGGCTGCACTCCGTACAGCAGTCAAAGATATCAGCCCGGCGCCGGCGCCGGCGCCGGTCTGATGTCAGCCGGCGTTTCATTCAGCTTCACGTTGAAGCCGATCTGAAGAGTCTGAATGCGAGTTCCGGGGAACCTGGGTTTCTGTCGCAGGCATGGCTAGAAACGAGTACACGAATCCAAGCGTCATGCCTGGTTCTGCGCAGCGTTTGCTGTGGTGCCCTGTCCTGTGGTCTCGGTTTTTAATGGCGCCGAGGCGAGCTGATGGTAACCGCAGCGGCGAGGGTGGCCACACGTGGGTGAGCACCACGGCGAGGGCCAGTTACCCATGCCTCTTGTTACGCTTACGCGGCGCCTGATGTCACCAGGCCCATTAACTGCCTCAGGCAACGGTGAACCGCTGAAGCCACCGGTGGCGACATGCCGGGGAGAAATAGTCCTGGCTCCTGAGCGCGACGGCCGGGACGTAACGAGCCATGGATTCAGCCCGTGTTTAGTTGAGTGCAATTTGGGTTGCCGTAGTACTTTTGTTTTTATTTGATAATTAATATTCAATCATGGATTAATTAGGCTTAAAATGTCTGTCTCGTAATTTTTCATCAAACTGTGCAATTAGTTTTTTTCCCGTCTACATTTAATGCTCTATACACGTATCGTAAGATTCGATGTTATGAATACTATAGCACTTTTTGAGAATTTGAAGGGGAACTAAACACGGGCTCAGATCTGGAGAACTAGTCAGTGCAGGCACTGCAGCAGGTTCATTGCATTCCGAATCATTTGAGGGTGCGTTTAGTTGTCCAAAGTTGGCGTCGTCGGAACCACTGTGCGGCACTGCAGCGTATTGTAGTATTTCGTTTGAATTTGGTAATAATTATTTAATCGTTGACTAATTAGGCTCAAAACGTTCGTCTCGCAAAGTACAACCAAACTGTGTAATTAGTTTTTGATTTTGTCAACATTTAATTTGATGTGATGGAGAATATTCTTTTTACATAGTGTCAAAGTTTGGATTTTGGGATAACTAAACAAGACGTGATTTGAACTGAAGCCGCGGCCAGCTGAATGGCAGGAAACGCTTCACGTCGACAGATCGAGACTAGGGGTCTGGAACGTGGGATTTTTTTTCTTGTTCCTACGTTTTTTATGTGAAATTGAATCGATTCCTGTGAAATTTTCTGTATAATTCCTGTGAAATTCCTACATTCCGAACATGCCCTAAAAATTTGTGCATTTCTTTCCGGCACATGGATCGGACGCCTCTCCCGTCGAGACTGAATGAAATATCGAATCCGATTAGGGCTTACAGAGTGTCAGTTCCGATTAGGGCTTGGACACGTACTTGGTTCAGGCTGACTCGTCTCCTATTCTGGATCAGATCACCCGAGTTAGGCCAAGAAGAAGCCCTGCCATAGCGCTGTGTAAAGGCTGGACAACTGCTTGGCGTCGGAGCTTGGCAACTTCTGGTTCCGGTGCAGGACGCCTATACATCGGCACACAAGACACTATATAATGCAGGACGCAGAGCTTGCGCCTCTCTGGAGCGGCGAAGTGTTTGATTTCGTTGCAGTTTCTAATGACCGGCAGATCTCAATGACGTCGACGGCTATGCCAATGTCAAGCCAATAACTGTGCTTGCGATCTGAATCCGTCGTGGCTGCAGCGTAACCGTAACCGGACTGAGCGTTCCCGGCCAGGAAATAGATACAGGAAAACGGATGCAGATGCAGTGCAGTGCAGCAACAGGTCGTCGGCTTCTGCAAGCAAGCGTCAACAGATGTCACGCGACGACAGTGCCGAAACCGAAAGGCCCCCGAGCAACCAACAGTCTGAACTCTGAACCGAGGCTGCGCCTCGTTCTGCTCACACCGGCCGAAAGTTACGTCTCGGCGTGGATCGGCAGGCCCCGGCCTTGCATTGCACCGTTGGCCGCCTTGCTCTGTTGGGCTAGCTGCTCTGCTCGCCTACTCGGCTAATAGCAAACGGCCACATCCATCGTAGTCGGGGCATTAGATTGCCGGTTTGGCTTAATTAACCGCCGGAGCTGCATAAATACCTGGCACGCACAGCTCTCAAGTGGCAGCTGCAAGCACCACCGGACGGAGAGGGACACGACTCCTCCCTCGTCTCTCACCATGCCTTCCCCTTCCTCGGCCCACTGGCTGAGCCTCGTCGGGAGCATCTGGCTGCAGACCATCAACGGGCCCAACGCGGACTTCCCCGTCTACTCGTCGCAGCTCAAGGACCTGAAGCACATCACGCAGGTGCAGCTCAACTTCCTGGCCTTCGCGTCGGACGCGGGCAAGCTCTTCGGCTGGTTCTCCGGGGTGGCGGCGCTGTACCTGCCGCTGTGGCTGGTGGCCTTCATCGGCGCCGCGTTCGGTCTCGTCGGCTACGGGGTCCAGTACCTGTTCCTCGACAGCGCGGGCCTCCGGTACTGGCACCTGTTCCTGCTCACCTCCCTGGCCGGGAACGGCATCTGCTGGATCAACACCGTCTGCTACCTCCTCTGCATCCGGAACTTCGGCTCCAGCAGCCGCGTCGCGGTGAGCCTCGCCACCAGCTACCTCGGCCTCAGCGCCAAGGTCTACACCAGCCTGGCGGACTCGGCACTACCCGGGCTGGCCGCCAGCTCCAAGGCCAAGACCTACCTCCTCCTCAATGCCGTCGTGCCGATGCTCGTCACCGTCGTGGTGGCGCCGTCGCTCAGGGTGGTGGACCTCACGAGCGAGGCGAGCACGGACGCGGCATTCCTCGTAATGTTCGCCATCACGCTCGCCACGGGGGCCTGCGCCGTGGTCGGGAGCATCGGCTCCACGTCCGGCAGCGGGCTGTCGTCGAGGGAGCACGTGATCAGCCTCGGCGTGCTGCTGGCCACCCCCGTGCTCATCCCGCTGGCGCTCAGGGTCCGGGAGAGCCTCCACAAGATAAGGGAAACCAAGCGGGAGAACAGGATCCACGACCTCGGCACCGACGACGCCGACGCCGCGGGCGCCGTCGTCGTCATTGATGTGGCCGCCGCCGCCGCCGCCGCCGAGAGCATCAAGGAGGGAGACGGCGTGGCGGAGAAACCGCAGGAGGAGATCGGCGGCCTCCGGCTGCTGAGGAAGCTGGACTTCTGGCTCTACTTCTTCAGCTACATGTTCAGTGGCACCCTGGGCCTGGTGTTCTTGAACAACCTGGGACAAATAGCGGAGTCGCGACGGCTCGGGCAGACTTCCACGCTCGTCTCGCTGTCGTCTTCGTTTGGATTCTTCGGCCGCCTGCTCCCGTCCTTCTTGGACTACTACTCCGCGAAGTAAGCAACAAGCTTCAAGCTAGCATTCTGTTCACACCACTTCCTATCTAACCTAGTATAGTTAATTTGATTGGTATATATCTATCCTGAGATCTTGGAGTCAATCAGTCAGTCTATATACCAAGACTCCGTAGTAGCTTCAGATTCAACTTTCTAGATCGATCCATGCGCGCGGTCTTTTTTAGTTGACGTGCTAACGAACTGCTTGTTGCTACGTACAGAAGTGTTTCTTGATTTGTCGTGCTAACGAACTGCTGTATTTGCATATTATGCAGGAGTGGCTACTCCATCTCACGGACGGGATCCATGGCGTCACTGATGGCGCCCATGTCCGGCGCCTTCTTCCTTCTCCTCAACTCGAGCGACCTGTTCCTGTACCTGAGCACGGCCGTGATCGGGACGTGCACGGGCGCCATCACGTCGGTGGCCGTGTCGGCGACGAGCGAGCTGTTCGGGACGGAGAACTTCGGCGTGAACCACAACGTGGTGGTGAGCAACATCCCCGTCGGCTCCCTCTGCTTCGGCTACTTCGCGGCCTACCTCTACCAGCGCGGGGCGCGGGGCAGCACGCACCAGTGCATCGGCGCCGCCTGCTACAGGGAGACCTTCGTCGTGTGGGGCGCCACCTGCGCCGTCGGCACGCTGCTCTGCGCCGTCCTCTACGCCCGGTCGCGCAGCTTCGCGGGGAAACTAGCAGTAAGGACACCATCATGCCTCGCCCGCTTAGCTAATTGCCTCGTCGTGTCGTCGTAGGTGGTAGCAGGCAGGCTCCAGAAGTTTCTTTCTGATCTGAGGGCCTGATTAATCATACACCCATCGATCGATCAAGCATCTGCCTGTAGGCGATGTATAACTATTGATCCATCCTTTTTTTCTTCTTCGAGTTTTTTTTTATCTTGACTGATCCCGATGGAAGGGGCCGGGTACAGAAAAAAGCCTTGGGGGAGGCTGATCATGAGTAGATATTGTTGTGCAGCAGGTTGGCCACCTTTTTTTTCACTTGTTATTAGTGCATATAGCATATATATGCAATATATATATATATGAGTGGTACACTTAAAAACTTGAAAGGAATTCAGGTTTAGCTCCGTGCTGGTTGGTATTATTTCGATCGCATTTGTGGATCTCTTTCTCTTCGGAGGAGGTTAGATGGACCACTTAGTACTACTGCACTTCTCCCTGTTAGTGCCGTGCCGCTGAGAGTGAGAGGTTGATGTATCGCACGCGGAACCGGAATTCGCATTGCGTGCGTGAAAGAAACCATGAATGGTCTGTTTGGACTTTGTATAGACTCGGTATTTATGAGAGCACAGATACTTGCATATGATTAGTGGTCCAGAGCAGGCAGTGCTATACCGCTATTCCACGTTATTCAGTGCAAGGACAGTTAGTTATACAGCAGCAACAGTATTTTATTTTACACAAGTACAGTAGTTTATAGTAAATTTATATAGATTCTGAAATTTACTATACATGTAGAAGTAAAAAGTTTTCAGTCGCCTGATAGATAGATACATAGATACATCTGTGGTAGGAGAATACGAGTACTGAATTACTGAAAGAAAAAAAAACAAAGAATACTGAACTAGTGGTTGTATGCGGTTTGGTTGTTATACGCGTGTCCTGCAGAGAGTCCAGACCTAACTGTGAGTCCGTACACGAGGTGAAGTCAAGGCCGACGTTTAGTACCGGTAACTGTCCGTCAACTTCTTACTGCAAAAAGGCGCTGAGGAGTCGCCATTCCTCAGAGCGGCGCCGAAGAAATCCCCGTGTAGAGATAAATCTTTGGTTGTGCCGTCCGGACTAAGGGGGGTTGTTTTCGCGTGTCCCTCTAAATTCCAGACCTAACTGTGAGTCCGTACACGAGGTGAAGTCGAGGCGGATGTTTAGGACTCGTTCACATTGAAAAAAAAAGTATTAAATATTTTCATTTTAATTACAAAAACTAATTGGATCGCGTTCAAAAGATTAATTTACTAGACGAATCTTTTAAGCCTAATTAGTCTATGATTTGACAATGTTTGCTAGCAGCTAAAAATGATGTGTGCTAGTGACGGATTAATTAGGAATAAAAATGGCATCAAGGGGTTAGTAGTCTTAACGGATTATGTAATTTATTTTTTATTAGTATCGCTGAGGAGTCGCCATTCAAGAGCGCCCGCCGAACACACCTGTAGAAATTTTACTTGGTTGGATCCAAACACCCCCTAACTGTAGCCCTGTTCGTTTGGGCTTATTTGGCTGATAAGTCATGATTGAAAGTATAGTTGACTAATTTGGTGTAAGAGAAAAATATTATTTATTGGCTGAAAAAATATAACTTATAAGTCAAACAAGCGCGGCAAACAGGGCTGCGGTTGTCTTGTACTTGTACTACTCTCGTTCGTTTGGGCCCTGACCCTGGTGGAATCATTTCAAACTACCTGCCTGCTAAGCTAGCTCTCTTAAGAATTGCACAGCCATGCTTTAGCATGTGAAAATATATACCACTCGACAGGGGACGATGAAAGTTATGCGACGGTGGCCCATGAAAGGTGGTGTATCCAGGGAAGAACCGTTCAAGATTCTGCCCATTCCATCTCTGGTGACCATTCTGGGCATGTCGAAACTACGCTTGATTACCACTAGGGCACCTGTCGCGTCTCTCGTGACCACGACCGACCAGGGAGCTCTCACAGTCACAGTGACCCATGTCTCATGCATGCACCATCACTCCTTCCGACAGCAACAGCTACTAGGGATACATATATACAAGGCCATACTCCTATTAGCAGAAAAGCACGAACTGAGAAATTCCTATTTTTGCGGACGGTGCAGGGGTCAGGGGGATCTGAAAGCATGCATGTGATGGATGGATGTAGCCATAAAGGATCGATGGGTAGAGTAGTAGGTCCATCCATCCATCCACCCATCTATCCGTCGGCCCTTCGTCACATGCTGTGCGATGGCGCACAGTTGAGTTTGCCGTTTACACGCGTACTTGGATGGATGCGCAACTGCAATGGCTATTTATTCGCCGAAAGCATGCATGGGCTCGCACCTCGCTATAGCTAGCAGTCTCCTCCAAATCTAATCTTCTGCTGAGGGATGAGGTGAGGTGAGGTGAGCCGATTCATTTATGGTTTCATGAGGTTGATTGGCCTGATCACTCACTGCTCCTTGGACGTCGGTGATGATGGCACGTCCGATCACTCACCTCACTTCAGCCTGACAGGCTTGAAATTGTCATAAACTCCAGTCCCCGCCAGGTGTACTGACGGCTCAACATTACTGTTCTTAAATCTTGTTAACATTTTTTTAAGACAAACGGCATGTTCGCTCGTTGGTTTTAGCCAGCCCAAACCAATCAGCCAACCGTGTTTTTCTCTCACAATAAATCAAGATCTAACCAATCCAAACCAGCCCAGAAACCCACTAGTAAAACGGGCCAACATGGTTCAACAGTGCATCGTGACCATCTTTTCCTGACATATGGTACTCCGTAATCCGTATGGTCGTATGGGGCTCAAATTGAAGCCTCGGCAGCCTGATTCTTCCTGCGCCCTCCAATCCAATCGCGTCCTTGGCTGCTCCATTGCTACAGTGTATATACAGACACGGACACGGTTGCCTGCAGACGGGAGCAGGGGAGTTAGTGTGGTGGATGGGGGTGCTGGTGTTGGTGGAGGCTGTAATGGTGGCGGTGGTTGTTGAGAGGGCAAATGCGCGCGCCAAAGCCACTGCCACTGACGTGTGTGCGCCCCTGTGCACGCACATGCCCAGCTCGCGCGACGGTGATCGATCAGCGGAGAACTGAAGCCTGGAGGAGGAGCAGGGCAAGTGGGACCGGCTGGGGAACGAAGTGAAAGTGTGCGCCCTTCCCTGTCCATTTGTGTAAACGCAGATTTGCCACCGATCGATCCGTATGTGTTGTGGACGCAATGATTACTCGTTGCTCGCTGATGGCCGGAGTACATTCGTTCGGTAATGCTGGCTGCTCTCATGCTGGAAGCAAAAATCTCTCTTCAGGTATTTGCATGCGTATATCGGTGTGCATGTGGCATTTGGGTGACACGTCCGATCGTCGATCGGTCCGATGAGGATGTAACGCAACGAAGAGGACCATGCGTGTTCGCGAACATCGCGATCCACATTCCGCGTCGTCGAATCATGTCATGTGAGAGAGGGACGGTCATCCGCCGTCCAGTCCAATTATCATACACGAGCATTTGAGCACAGTGCTTTACAGCATAACTCTTTTCATTTATTCAAAATTGTTTAATGGACGGTTCATCCACCTCCTTGATAGTTGCGATGTGTTTTTAAACCGGTGTATACAGACGTTGATGCTCCCATGCATGTTATTTATAATAGATGTGTACACATGCACATCCTATCAGTATCAATATGAAATGGGCAGAAGTTACTCGCATACTATTGAATCGCCCCTCAAATTTACAATTAACGATAAACTACGCCTATAAATGTTTCTAATACCAACATTAATGTACAAAAAATAGATCAAAGTAAATGTACATGCCACCATGGAGACCAAGAATAAATGTGTGCATGAGTGATAAATACATATTTCTATAGTTTAGTGATCATGATTTTTCCCTTAAAGAATCGAATTGCCAGTGATATTGGAAATTTATTTTGAATTATATTCACAATTCATGATATATTAACATATGTAAAGTTGGACGTATAAGTTATATACAAGAAATTAGATGTACAAATTAATATCATAATATATTAACAGAAATATAAAACTATAAAAAAGACAAAACATGGTGCACTAATTTATATTTATTCGTCTACAACTAGATATGGATAATATATAATCAAGTAAAATAGATAGATTAATGCATAAAAAATAAAAAGATAAAAAATGAGAAAATAAAAAGGAGAAAGATGGACGCACCGTGTAACAGAAAAGATGCAGTCTCGGATGGCTCGACACCGTGTAACAGATTGCAACGAGCAACGTGTAGTGGAGAGTCTCTCGCCCGGTCAGATTGTTCGCTCTATCGGAAATAAGTGAACGACCACGGTAATGGATTTGGGGGCACAAAAGCGGCGAGGGGGCTGAAAAGGGGCGGCGGCGGCTTCGGACTAGTGCTTCTTTTGCTTCTAAGGGGCTGTTTAGTTCCCTCCAAAACGTCAATTTTTTTAAAATTTTCTGTCACATCAAATCTTTGGACACATGCATGAAGCATTAAATATAAATAAAAAATAAAACTAATTACACAGTTTAGACAAAATTCACGAGACGAATCTTTTAAGCCTAATTAGACTATGATTGGACACTAATTGCTAAATAACAACGAAAACGCTACATTAGCGTTTTGCCAAAAAAAATTGGCAACTAAACTGGGCCTAACTAAAAAACTGCGGCAACCCTAGTCAGTATCCACTTCAATCATCGCATTCGGAATGGAAGGGACAGATTGGGGTGTTTGATTCATCTCCTAAACTTTAGTCGATGTCCCATCGGATATTTAGATACATGTATGGAATATTAAATATAGATTAATTATGAAACTAAATGCATAGATTGAGGCTGTTTTGCGAGACGATTTTTTAAGCCTAATTAGTCCATGATTTAACAACGTGGTGCTACAATAAACATAGGCTCATGATGGGTTAATTAGGCTTAGCAAATTCGTCTCGTAAATTATTGACGGATTCTATAATTTATTTTTTTATTAGTATTCGAACATCTTACGCGACACCTCTCGACTAAACTCTAGTGACTGGATTCGCATCAAATG